GATAGATAGATAGATAGATAGATAGATAGATAGATAGATAGATAGATTTCAACACAATCTTTACCTTTTTCATGTCTCTCTTGTCCTCTTTAGCAATTACCTGTGGTCACCCAGGAAACCCAAGCAATGGGCGGACCAATGGCAGCGAGTTCAACCTCAATGACGTCGTCAACTTCACCTGCAACAGAGGTTACATCCTCAGTGGAAATGCTCGTGCTCAGTGCCGACTCAATGGACAATGGAGCAGCCAGCTACCCGTCTGCAAAGGTCACGATGAGATCTGTTTACTTAGTAGTTGTAGAGTCAAAGGGGTATCTGACTGTCCAGTCTGGACATACTTTTTTTCTTTAGAAAATGTTCTTGGGAGAAGGGTTCATGAGAAAATATGGTACAGTTTTTGTTTTTTTTTGCTTTTTGTTTTTCCTGTGTTACAGACTTGATACTAAGAGCAAGAGCTGTGGGATCATATTTCACTACTGTGGAAACTTGCTGTATCTTTGCAGCCCCAACCCCTAGTGTTTTCCATTTTCCTGTTTTTGAGTCTTTACATATTGTTAGAGAAAATGTACAGTGGTAAGTAAGAACTGATTAAGTGTGCATCAACGCAAAACAGAGGTACATGCTCACACAGCTGGATCAATTCTTACCTTCTTCTCACCATTTATATTTGATACACTACAAAGCTCTTGTAGTGTTTTTAAATAGTAAAGCTCACAGCGAAGTTACTTTGCATAGTTGAAATTATGTAGTTTCTAACACAAGATTTCATCAAATGTCTTCTTTCTTGATTGCGTTCTTTCTACAGTTTCAATTACTTTTCTATCTTATTCCCTTCTTCCCGGGTTCCCCCCTCTCTCGCAGCAGCAGCAGCTGTCATTTATGAGACTAAAACTTTTTTTCGCTCCCATGGGGTGCCGAGCACATACGCATTCACAGACACCGCCATCTCCCTGGTGGACTCGATTTTGAGTGAATGTCAGTGTCCCCTGTGACATGTGGAAAATCACACTTTTCTTCTTTTGGACTGGCATCACTCAGAGAGGAGACACAGAAAGGGGAGATGGAACCCGAAGAGAGAGTGGGGAACAAAGAACTCCAGAAAACTAAGCAGAGTGTGACAAAAGAGAAGTTTAGAGAACATTAGAAAAGAGCATCAAGGACAATCTTAATTTGCTCCACTTTGGTGGTTTCATGCCCACCCAATCTGTTTCTCTGAGCTTTGCTGTGTAAAGGTTCAGCTCTATTATGTTGAGAGTTGCTCATTCTGCTGTCATTGTGATTTTGACCCATACCACCGAAAATCTGAGGTTGAAATTTTATGCACTTTATTGTGCCCTTCAGTGGCACATCCTCTACTTTTCCCTAACAATCCCAAAATGACTGGCGTAGACCTCAATTTACGGCTCATGTTATGACTGTCTCTTATAATAGCAGTGCTAAGTAAATGAAAGAAATTTGTGGACCATAATTTTATATTTCAAGTTCAGCTGCTTTGCTCTTTTGGAGTATCAGCCATTATATTTGAATATTTATTGAAATCTCCAACCTTTTTTGGTATGTCTTTGATAAGATGAATTATGTAGGTTTTGAGTCTAAAATTCACTTGAAGAACTCTCCTGTTTTACTCAGTGGTGAACTGCTCTGATCCGGGCCATGTGGAGAATGGGGTGCGGCAGTCAGGTCTACGATACCCCGAAGTCTTCAGCTATGGTGTAACTGTGGCAGTCCACTGCAAACGGGGCTTCTATCTTCTGGGATCTGCACTGCTGACATGCCAGCATGATGGACTGTGGGACAAGCCAATTCCCCGTTGCTTAGGTATGGACAGACAACACTGTGACAAAACACTTATTTAGTTTCTCAACAAGACTGTCCTCTCAAAAATGACACCACTGGTCATATGTTCATTGAACCTGCTTAACCTCTAAAAAGAATCCCTTCCAAATATTTTTTATGTTTAATCATGTGATGATATTGCTTGCATACGACTAGGAAGTCATTATTGTGGATAAACTAGGAAGTTTTATTGTGATATTACATTTACATGTAACGAAGGCAATAAGCACAATGAGGTCCATGAAGTTGATTTTTGCATTTTTAATATTCTTTTGCAGCCCTTTCCCTTTTCTTTTTCGAAACTTATTCAGCTAATGTGTTTTAGTGAGGAACTGTGTTATTGAATGAGCTATATATATTTATGTATGTATAATGATAATGATAAAAAAAATATTTTAATAACTTCAGTTACACATCCTTCATTGGTGTGTCTACACTAGAGTAGTGAAGTAGTAAAAGCCCACTTTACTTTGACTTAATCAGATGTATGATGGTTAATCTGCTTTGCCATGTTTATCATATGTTTTATTTCAACTTAGAGGCAACAGACACAATATCAACATTGAATTAAATTACATAACTGACCATTTCACTTTTAATATCCTGAATCATAAACAGCAGATTCCTTATGTCCAACAGTTGTCACATCACATTTAAGACAGGTTCACGGCAGTTTTCTGCATATTCTCCTGGAGAGAATGTGTTAGTCGAAAAGGTTTATCTTTTCTTTTTTTAATTTCTGCAAACCCGTGTTCATGAAAATCTCATAACAGCGGATTACTATGTTTTATTTATATTTTATATTTGTCAAGAAAAGAAATATGAAGGTTGGAGAGCCACTGAGACACGGGTGAAGAGAATGAGAAAACTGAAAGAAAAAAAGAGGGTTCAAGTAAGAAAAAGGGAGGGGAAGTAATCGTAAAAGAGTGAGAGTGTGAAAGAAAAGGGCTTTAAGGTTTGTGCATTATTGTGTGGGTGTGTGAGCATGTGTCTCTTAAGGCAATAGATGTTCTTGTTGGGAAGCTGCAATGGCAGATAGAAACATGGAGATTAAACTAGAGCGCAATGCCGAGAAAGAGGCTGATTCACAGATGAAGGGAGAAACACAAAGAGGTGAACTGAGGCACAGAAGGAGGACTCGGCAACAGAGAGGTGGAGATGAGGAATCAGACAGAGAGAGGAAGGGGCATACACTGGTGACACACTTTCCTCTGTGCATCGAGTATTACATTCGCGAAACAAGGTCTTATCGGAAAATTGGGGGGAGAGGGGTGATGACTGAGGGGCAAGGAGAGGATGGAGCAATACAATTTGGGGGGTAAGGGGAGATAAAGTGGGATGGGGGCTGGGCAGAACTCAAAAATTGAGAGCAATTTCATATCAGTGTACTGCAGAACCCTGTGCACCATAAAACAGATCTATTCAAAACTGAAGCAAAAAAAATGCTGATTTTTGGGGGGTTTGTTTTTTTGTTTTACAAAGGTCAGTTGCTTTCACACCGTGGAATGATTTACTGTTTTTCAAAACAGAATAGAAAGGGAGACTCTTTTTATGTTTTATAGCTCCGGTGAATTAAATTTGAGATGAATAGCTGTTTCTTTGTTCGCTCTCAGGCGATTCAATTAGGCTCAACAATGGTATGCAGTCCATACAATGTAAGCCAGAACAAGTGCATTATTTGTGAATTCAGCCAGTCGTATGATGCAATTCACAGCACCCTGAAATATCAGAAAATGTAGTTGTTTCTTTCCTAAGGAAAATTATTTTTCATGTCAGGAGGAATGTGTAGCTTTTTTCCTTTATTTGTGAAGTGTGAAACTAATAGTTCACAAAATCAGTCGACACCTGCATTCAGCCTTTACTCCATCTTGTCATCCCCACGTCTCCACATTCCTCTCCTGTGGTGACCCAGTTGTGCTACTTAATGCAGTTATGTATCTGGGAATCTGTACCGCTCTGAAACATCACAAGCTTTCCTTTCCACGTTTTCAACCTCTCCGTAGCTATTTCCTGTGGTGACCCTGGTGTCCCACCCAGCGCGGTAGTTTCTGGAGCCCACAGCTGGACGTATGGGTCGGTGCTGCTGTACTCCTGTTTGCCCGGGGGAGTGCTTGTTGGCAATGCTACTCGCCACTGTAAGGAGGACGGCACGTGGAGTGGAGCACCACCCTACTGCACAGGTACAAGTAATGAAGTGAACCTTTTTGCTTTTTTATTGCTGCTAAAGTATCAGAGCCCAAAATATTCATTTACTTGTGAAATTCAAGTGAAACTGGCCAAATTACTCATAGAAAAAGAAATGTAGCACTAACAGAATAAATGAACATTTACAACATTGTAATATAATGTCCATACAACATACAGATTTAAACTACAGCAAGCTGTTCATACCACTTGGTTGTAATTCCAGATCTATAACTTACTGAACGGATACTAAATCATTTTATTAGTGAAAAAAACCCAATTCAAACTAGTTTTTAGTCAATTTCTTAGTTCTTCAGTGTTTTTCATGGGTAACATAAAACGATGTCAAGTAAATCTGAAAAACTCTCCCAGGGGCAATCCTCTTAAGTCTTATCTTATCAAACCTGCACCAGATGAAGGATCGCAATCAGACTGGCCTCGGTAACACCTTGCCCAAATCTGTTTGAACAGGAGAGGAGTGGACATTTTACAGATGGAGAAAATATAGCACCTCAGTCACCTGTTTTTTAACATAAGTACCTGTTCTTCTACTATGTGCAAGGTGAAACTCCTCTTGCATGTGTGAGGCACGGAAAACAATATGAAGGTGAAAGATTCCTGCTTTAGGACACAGGTTCTAAGTACTGCTCTGCAGCAGGCTTACACTGATCCCTCAACACTAAAAATGATCATTTCCAAACTCAGCATCTACTGTCTCAATAGCTGAAATGCAATAAGTTTACTCTGCCAGCCTCAAAATGAGGCACACAGCAGGGCAGAATCCATTCAGCAGCTGAAGACCTCATTGAGATGCATGACTCTGCAGTTGGAGCTGTACCCTGTTAAACTCACAAATCCCTGCCGATGGATTTTAAGCCGCGAAAATTGTGACACGCTCAGTGCATTTAATGCTGGAACAAGTTGGTAGCCTAAATGCAAAGAACAGCTGTACAATGTAATCATGTGTGCGTGTCTGTCAGTGGGCGTGCAGGTTTCCACGGCGTCGGAAAAAACTCTACTGATGCAATTTATGCAGCAGTGCATTTTTAGTCGATGTCACTGGCAAGAATCCACTGTATGACTATTTTTAGCATACTAGCCTTAATAAGGAATATTTATATCTTACTATTTAGTCACACTAGATTCCTCAAAGGGTAGTAATGGACACCAGCATAGTGCAGCTGTTTCTTCACATTCATTTCTATCTTTTATATGTCGATTAGCTGTGCAAATTGATATGGTTAGCGTCTCATCAGCCCTACACTGCAAAAGAGGTGCTTGGTTATTTCAGGGATGTGAACATATTACTCCCCTTGGATCATTAACTTAATGTTTGCTCTCTTTGCTATAGGTGCAAGTACCGGAATATGTGGTGACCCTGGTATTCCTCCTCATGGTGCCCGTTTGGGAGGGGAGGAATTTAAGACCAAAAGCCTTCTTCGTTTTAGCTGCGAGGCGGGATATAATCTGATTGGCTCTGCTGAGAGGACCTGCCTTCACAATGGCACTTGGAGTGGTTCACAGCCTGTGTGTCAAGGTAGGACGTTGAGACTAGCAATGACTGTTTTGCAACTGTTAAGTGTTAACGGATTATCCTGTTCTGGAAAGATCATTAGATAATCATTAGAAGCCTGCTGCTTTCCCCTAAAACTGTTGCTCTATTTTATTTTCTATTTGAAATCACTATATTTATTTTTTAAGTCTCAATATACTTGACCATGCAAGACTTTTCAAAAACACTGTAGCTACATAATACTACAAAATGAGCTAGTCCACATTTTTTATGAAATTTATGAATAATTTTGTGAAATATTTACAGCTCAGTTCCAAAATTTGAGAAGCAAAGTCTTTTTAGCATACAGCAGCATCATTGTTCCTTGGTTCATTGAACAACTCTTCCATTATCAAGCACACAGGCTACGCCCAACGCATCATGCTTCATTTGCATTGTGAGGGCGAAGCTGGCTCACTGCATACACATGTGTGAAAAAGAATTAAGTTCTGTAGATTTCCTTTTTTGTTATGTTATACTTATTATGGTGATAATACATAAGGCGATTTCTTACAAATGTTCTACGGTGGTCAAATTTAGACAATTGCAAAAGAAAAAATAACAATGTGATATTTTTCTCGAAATTTGACAAAAAACAACATAACATAGGAGGTTTATGAAATGAGAACAAAAGAATATATATATATATATATATATATATCAGAATCATAAATCCTTTAATAATAATAATAATAATAAAAATAATAAGCAAAAAGATGTATGTTTTTAATGTATGTGAAGCCTAGATACCAACAACGGAAATGTGTCACCACTGCCTTATGGAGCAGGATCAGCTGCAGCAGTGTGCTAATAAAGTGCATCCTGTATAGCAGCGGTTTTCAAAGACTTTCTTTAAGCCTGTGGGATTTAAGGGGAAATTAAAATGGGTCCCCATAGTGTTGTAGAGACACTTGAATCCCACTTTGCTATCTGCATTACCCTCCATATTTCCACTCAAGTTTTTCGTTTTTTTTTTTCTTGTTGGAAAAATAAATAAATGAATTAAAAAGGCATGAATTACCATGTGGTGTGATATGGTGTAATGATTAGATTGATGGGCTATTTGGAGTCATGCAGTATCATTGTACAGTTGAGTAGTATTTACGTGACTACTAGCACAAAACAAGAATAAACTAAAAATAGATTAAAAAAACATGTGTGCTAGTAAAGTGTGCTAGTTTAAAAGAGCTAAATCAGTAATTGGTCATGATGCAAAATGCATTTTGGTTGGTAATATGATTGAAACTATATGTTGGAGGTCGTTTCACAGACAAGCTTTGAAGCCTATTTTTTTCCTATCTTCACTGATGTGTACATGAACTAAAAAAATAATCAAATGAAAAAACTAATGGTCTTTTTTCAAATGAAAAAAGAACCACCCACATACCTGAGAAATGTGTGCCACTCTGTCTGTGTTTGTGTAACGCTAATCATTTATGTCTGTCTACAGTTGTTTTTCATTAGCTAATAGTGGTTAAAAGCTGATTCAGAAAAGGCGAGACATCTATCACTGAGGCACCAGCACAAAGAAATCTTTACACACTTCCACACAAATACACACGTCTGCTGAAAGCTCTTACAACACATACTCTAACAAAAACAGCTAGATGTACTCTTTGACTGAGCTTCTAAGGGCTCTAACAAATGAATTTCATCAATAGCTTCTTTATTGCTAAGGGCCGTCAGCTGTCATGATCCTATTAGGGAAATGTTCTGTGGCTTGTTGCTAATTCCTGCAGGTTCCCTTAATGTGCTTAATGTGCTGGGCCAGCAAACTAAAGATTGATGCATCATTAATTCAGACCTTTCCTATGCAGGGTTATCTGTAACAATCCTGGCTGACAGCCTGTCATACGAGCAGTAACCAATAACAGTTGTTTGACAGGTGATTGTTGAAGTAAACTTGAAAATGCTTACCAGTATAGATGCTGCAATGTCATCCATACAGCCAATCTACAACATTACATTTGCTGAAACTCTCCCCAAACCAGCTTAACTGTCTTCATGGCCTTTACTCATAACAAGCTCAACTCTGCTGTATGTCCAGTGATTCCTCCGCTGCTTGTCACTCCTAAAAATGTAAAAGCTCCAAAACTTTGCCCAGACAAGCATGTAGTGTTGTTTGATAAAACAAATTCAATATAAGTTATCTATTTCAGTACTAATATTCTATATATCAGAACATAATGGAATACCATCTGGTCTTTGAATTAGGTAATCTAACCACGGGAACTTGAAAAAAGACCCAATGGTATGCGCAGAAATATTACCAATTTACTGGCTTTGGGCACTGAGGTGTGCAGGAACAATTGTTTTTGTTTATCAATTTTTACAGCATATTAAATCAGTTAGCTAAAAAATTCATTCAAGTAAAGACAAATTACAAGTAAGTATGGCAAAATTAAAGTCAATGTACAGGATACTGCATATATGTAACACCCTTCAATCCACCAAATACCTGTTAGAAGCAGAAAGTTTGAAGTTTGGCTTTAGAAGCACATCTATGACAGACCTCATGTCAGCAGGCAGCTTTTCCAGAGAGTTGCCAAGCTTTATCTGAATGCACTCTCTGCAGACTTTGGTGTAATTCAAGGTTCCTTTAGAGATGCATTAACGGCTGAGCCATTAAGCACTTCATGGACTATTAGAGGGAATTTAAAGGTGATTCTGTATTGAACAGGAGAGACCATTGAGGGTGATGACGATATGAGAACTCTGGCTGCTGATTTCTGAATGAGTTGAAACGATGCTCGATATGAATAAATGAGCCAATTTCTCAGAGTCCCTTTTGAGACAGGAATTTTATAACTTTTCATGCATTTTCATGGAACAGAAACAGCCCCGGTGATGTTGGTAAAGTGGTTTTCAAGAGTGGCATCAGTATCCAAGATGATTATCTGTGGCCTTGGAGAAGCAATGGTTGGCGCCCATCAGTCTGGGAGAGATTAGAAGGCCATTTCATTGTACCGTGAGGAGGATTATTCACAAGAGGAAAACAGTCAGTTTAGTTGCCAGCCTGAAATGATGTCGCTATGAGCATAAATGTGCATAAATGAACGCCCACAAACCTCAGTGAACAGAAATGATGTTGTAAAGAAGAATTACAAGATGAGAACATCTGATCACCATGCTAATGATTGTGAGTGCTGCCAAAGGTGGTTCTACAAGCTAATGGAATATGAAGCATACTTTTTTTTTGAGTGCTCAAATGACAACACAGTGCACTCTTACAATGTTTTAAGCGGGGAGTACTGTTGCCTGCAGGAACAAGCTTCCTGGTTAGAGTCTTGCAGCTAATTCGGCTATCTATGCTTCATCCCAAAACATTCTTACTTGATTGGTGATCATAGCCTGTAGGTGTGAGTGTGAGCATTCATGTTTGCTCATCATTTTTGTCTACATTTTGGCCCTGCGATGGGTTTGCGGTCTGTCCAGCTTGTACCTCGCCTCTCTCCCCCAGTGGCAGCTGGGATCGACTCCAGCCCACCTCTGAGTGTGAACAAGGCTTTGTGCGGAATGCAGAAGGGATGAATTTAAAACATTGGCACTGCAAAATGCTGCACTTTCTTTTACAAATTATTGCATACTTCATGATGTAGACGTAATTAACTTCCCTTATCCTTGATGATACATCTAAAACACTCTAAAAAAATCAATGTCTTAGCGCTGGGAATAACTCCAACAATCTTTAGTAATTAATCTGTATCTATGCCTTAAGGACACACTTTATGTATTTCATCTGACTTTAGTGTTAAGCTCTTTACCTCCCGCAGTTGATGAGCCTTGAGTGACAGGAAGTCAGTATTGTATAATATTATTGCAGAAGTTCTCAAAGCGTGTTGTTTCTCTCCTTCACTTCTTAGCTGTGTCATGTGGTAACCCTGGAACCCCTGCACATGGGAGGATTGTCTTCAGTGATGGCATAACCTTTGGCAGCTCAGTAGCTTATTCATGCTTGGAAGGCTTCAAAACATCAGGTCTGACCACCAGACACTGCACAACGAATGGGACATGGACAGGACAACTCCCCGATTGCACTGGTAGGATATTCCTCCTAATTATCTTTGTCAGAGTTAGTACATTCAGAAAAGTTGAACTAGCCTTTGAAAAAAAACAACTTGAGAGGATTTCTGTGATTCCCCTTTTAAACTGCTGGAATAACACTGACTGAAGGTTTTCTATTTTTTCCTTTAGTGATTAGTTGTGGAAACCCTGGGCCTATAGCCTATGGAACCTATTTAGGAAGTGAATTTACCTACAACCACACGTTGACCTACCGCTGTAACCCTGGTCATCTCATGGAACCAGCTGGAGCTGGACGCAATATTCTGTCCTGCACTAAAGAGGGTTCCTGGAATCAAACCAAACCCACCTGCAAAGGTATGACAAACCAACACTTTAATCATCTCTCTGCATTAATGTCTTAACATTTAATTAAAAAAACTTGAAAGCACCACAAAAACCTCTTAATAAGAGTGAATCTGCGACTTTTATCAGAGCACAGGCTCATATGCTTCTACTACTCTAAAAATAAAAAATAAACTACTCTGTTTAGTTGTAATCTCAATCAATCACTTTTTAATCTATTATTTTAATGTGCATATTGTATATATCTAATGTCTAATATGTGATATAATATATAATGTCTATATCTGTGTCTGATTGTATGCGGATGTCACAATGTATATAAGTGGTGTGTGTGGAAGTTGGTGCTTGTGGGGTGCTGCAATTAAATGTTTTTAATCATTTTCAGTGGATCTTAGCAAATGCAGCTCTTGTAAATCTGTTACTGGGGTTTATATTTAAGAGTTTAAAACTTCAGATTTAAATTTACTATGCACTACCTCACCTCATACAGCAGCTCAAGCTTTTCCCCAGCCAGTGAAGTGACCTTCCATGTCATAAGAGCTACTTTGCAATGGCAAAAATCAGCAGGCCAACGCCACACCTTCTGCCTATCAACTCCCAATGCACCAGGCCTTGACTATCCCCCATGCAAGTAGTAAGCCCTCATGGAAATGAATTCCTGTTGCTGTAGATTCTAGGGGATGCCCCGATTTCTCTTTTCCAGCCAAGATGGATTTCTTTCCTGTGGGGCTCCATTGAGATCTTTGAATTGCTTTTAGTCTGATCTCTCCACTGAGACGAATTTTCCATGGGAGATCCTAATAGTGGTTAATGCCCCGACAGCAAAGCTCTTAGGATCTTGGGGATACTCAAATCCTTCTACCACGTTAAGAAAGGAAATTTCTGGAGCAATGTTATGTGTCAAGGTAAGAGAAGTCCTCCAATAACAAGGCGGTTAACAATGAAAGCGGATGAGAGAAGTTAATGATCCTGTGCAATTGCCTCAGAAAGAATGTAGCAATTTAAAGGAGTGACTTGAACAATAGAAAAGGAAGATCATGTCACAGTAACATTGGCACAGTGTGTCCCAATAACAGAGTGCAAAATCAGGCTTTATCTTCAGCAAACCTGTTCTTCCATAAACGCAATGGGGGAGGTAAAAGAAAGAATCTATTAATATAAAGTAAGCGAATTGTACTACAGCCCATTTTTTAGAGTTTAGACTATGTTACTGAGCAATAGCAAAAAGGAAGCTTTCCTGAGATCATCCCAGTCGTCTCTTCCCACAAACTCCTGCTGGCTCCCTTAGTTGCTGGAGCTTTGAACTGAGATGAAAAACTGAGAAAGCAGGCATGGAGGCTACTGAGGAGAAACCAAAGAAGGGCTCAGAGAGAGAAAACAGAGAAGTAAAAGATATAGTGTATGTGATAGAAAATGGTATAGTGGCAGGAAACTGAAATATAGAACTTTAGCGATATAAGAAGAGTAAAAAAGCAGGGGTAAGAAAAGGTTTCTAGCTCTCGCTTTCTTTGTTCTTCCTCTTTCTTTTTACCTTTAACCCCAGAAACACAAAAAAGGATATGTGGCCTATGAAACTGAAGCTTAAAAGACAAAGAGGAATCAAATGAGGCATAAAAAGAAGGGGAGATTGAGAAAGCAAAGCACCACCAAAACGTGATAGGAGTGTGAGGAAAAAATTGATGAGTGGTGTTAAAGGAGGAGAGAGGAGGAGGTAGCAAAAATCCAAGGGATGAAGAGGTGTAGTGGGAAACAAATGAGATTATAACAGAAAGAGGCACAAAACATATAATGCCTCACGCTGAGTAATGCAGAGATTAAGAGGCAAACAGACTGGGAGGTGGAAGAGGAAAGATTAAAGAGAGTGAATGAAAAAGGAAAGGGGAGAATGTGATGAGCCATCAGCAGTACAAAAAGAAGAATGCAAAGAAAAGCAAGTGAGAGAGGAAGCGAGTTATGGGAAAAACAAAGAGAAGCAAATCAATACCTGCCCCCGAACCTGTAAACACTCAGTGGGAAAAGGGATTAAGCCCATAAACTGTGCTGGCTGGCTGAATTGTGCCAAGAGAGATATGCCTAAAAGACAAAGGGGGTAGGAAGTGTCAGTAATGGTCTGAGAAGAAGACCTATAGAGTCAGGCTAGTGGATAAAAAAGGATTGGAGGTTGGACAGAGGGACCAGGAGGTAAAGTGAGATTGAAAAACATCTGCAAACAGAGAGGAGATGGGGGACCAGAATTAAGAAGATGAGTGTAGACGGGTAATGAAAGGGGCTTGAGAAAAAAGAAAAAGAGCTTGACAAAAATTAGATGTTTTCAACCACCACAGTGACAAGAAGAAACAACATGTATAGGAAAACTGAAATTAGAGTCACTCCTCTTTCACTTAGTTGTGAAGAAAATCCAGTTTATACTCAATAAGGGAAAGATGCAAAATTCAGAAACTTTAAAAAAAAGAGTGTTTTGTGGCATCAGAGACCAGCACAAATGCTGTTCTTGAATATTAACCAAGGAAGTCAATGCGAATGTGCTTTTTCCATTTTTAGACAGCTACAGTTTATTCCATAACAACAAAGTTGCTTTTATGGAGAATAAACCTTCATAGAGTGATTAATTTGAATCCCTGTTTTACTGCTGGCCAGCCACCAGCTATTGTTCCTGGAGTCACAAAGCAATAAAATGATGAACTGCGTGCTTTACAAAATTGGCATTGACTTGTGTGCAGGTGTGTGATTTTGTTTCTTTCTTTTTTATGAAACTAACAACAAGCAGAGTACACTGTTGAGAGGGAAAATGAATAAGACAGAAAGATGAGACACCTCCTTTTAATCTGTGAGAATGACTATGGGGACAGTATGCGCTTCTTCAGCAAACTGGTGAAATACAATGCCAAAAATAGTTTGTTGATTAATTTTGCTATAAGCTTCTGTTGCCTAGAGACGGCAAAGTTGCAAATAAAAGGTACGTTCTGCCACTCTTGCTGTATCAAAGTGTGCACTGGATCTCATAATATCAGAATGAATGGAGCATGACACCATCTGTCTCTTAGTTAGATGAGAATTATGCTGACTTTATTAGATGTTTAAAGACCTACAGATGGTTATCATTATCTCAGGGTGTTAGTTACATGCACACACTGACATGTTTATCGTAATGTGAAGCGCACAGAAATCCAAACATGCAAAGGACACTGCAAATTTGAGCAGGCAAACCCATCAACTTCACTGTGAATAAACTCTTTTCAAATGATCCCAAATGATCATATCTCTATATGTAATAGATGGCTCTTTAATGCATGCAAATTTTTCTGAACTGATGGGCACTTTGAAATAAACATTGCACACTGTCAGGTGCATAATTAGGATTTAAATACCCATGTTTTTTGTAAACCAGTTCAATAATCCCACGACGGAAAAGCTTAAATTACACAACTGAGAAAAATGTAGGTATATTGCTTGCATTTACCAGTGTAGGTAGATTTAATCTGAAATATAGTTTAAATTTAATTCTCACCCAAGCTGTGTTTAATAGTTACTTAAAACAAACAAATGATAATTGTATCATTTCAGCATCCTCAGAATGGACTTTTTTCTTACCCTGTGGCGAAAGGTTCACATCATACTCAAAACCAACAATTTTGGGTCAGGAAAGTCCACAGTCCAGGGAACCAAAGATCATTTGTTATGTGGCTTGGAGCAGCTTGACCCACTACATAAAATGTGAAGAATCAATCTGATTGAGCCGTTCACGGAATGTTTCTGCTGATGCGATTCATGCAGAGCATTAGATTACAGACCACAGCATTGCCTTAAACAGTTAAAGAATCGTAATCTTAAAAGTAACCAGTTTTGAAGTAGCTCTGTTAGATCATAGATCGTATAATCCATTTGACATCCTAAAAGTATGTCTGAGATAAGATGGTTTTGGAGTGGAGATGAGTCTGAAATCAAAATAAAATTTAAAAAAATTGCCTCAGCAGGTACCTGAAGCAACGTTTATACATATCTGCAGTCAAAATGAGTATCCATCAACATTTAAATAATAATTTTAAAAAAATACACCCTTTTTTTTTTCGAAATAAAGAATTGATAAATTAACTACATCTGGATGCTGTGGTAGTGATACCCTGGACATTTTGTATTATTGCAGAGACCCTATATCTTTTTGTTTACTCTATCTGCTAAACACCAGTAAACAGTCTACAGTACAGTGCATCTATCTCATCCCACATTGACTTGTAACATGACAATGCTTAGCTGTATCTCACCCAATAATATTTGATGAGCCAAAATTGATGGTTACTAGCCCCAAGGGAGCCCCAATCAAGCCCCTCTAAAGACCAGGAAGTGACAGTGGGGACACTACCCACCCAAGGCTGCACTTGCTCACCTGCTTTTGGCCAGATTCTATAAATAAAAAGTCTCATCTGTGTTTTTTTAACTTTGAAGAACTTCATGGTCGGTGATGGCAAAGTATTTAGTGTATGTCTTTCACCAGCTGCTGAAAGGAGCACTTGTATTCATTAATAGATCTTACAAATCTGAGAAATACACTTTTACGCCTTAAACTGTGTTGATTTATTTATAATGTGATTCATAATGTGTGATCCGATCTTCTGCATGTCTTTTTGGTTCCCGTAGTGATCCAATGTGGACCTCCTCCTCAAGTGCTTTATGGGAAAGTGGAGGGGACTGACCATTCATGGGGATCAAGTGTTAGCTACAGTTGTTTCCATGGTTATCAGCTGTCCATCCGTGCTATGCTAACCTGTGAGGGTAATGGAACTTGGACTGGAGATGTACCACAGTGTTTGCGTAAGTTAGAGCCTCTATCTATACTTAAGCCGGGAACTGAAGCACTGTTGACTTTATTTGAAGAACAGCGCCATCTATAAACAGTAACGCTAACACTTCTCGTCTTGTCCCTCCAGCTGTCTTGTGTGGTGATCCTGGCTCGCCTGGTGGAGGATTCCGAGAGGGAAACCTATTCTCTTATAGGTTAGAATTTAAATAAACTGGTCTACCTACTGATTTCACTGTTGTAATGTTTTCCTGACTGTATGTTAATTTCCTTGTAAGCAGCATGTGTGAAACCACTTGTTGCTTGTCATGATAAGGTTGGCAAATGTGTCAATGGAGTTATAATGGAATATAATGAATATTATATTAAATATATTTTTAAAAATTAATTCTGGTTTTGTTGACAGTAACAAATAAGAAGGGGTAAATGATCAAATAGAAAGATGTAAAGCCACCTTATTAATTACCGTTGATTTCAAGATTGATACATAAAGAAAAGATAAAGAATATAAATTATAATACTTTTTAGCAGACGCTTATTTATTTTATTTATTCATTCAAGTTATACTTCAGTGTTTTATTAATCATGGTATTCTGGTAAACTGATTCATGGTATTCTGCGCTTCTACACAGGTCAGAGGTCAGGTTTTACTGCCATGCACCATATGTGCTGGTGGGTTCTCCATCCAGAGTTTGCCAAGCTGATGGGATTTGGAGCGGCGAACAGCCAGCTTGTATAGGTAACCGAATGAATATACCATTGTTTATGTTACTGTTTACCTTCTTGGTGATTCAATAGCCGCACTGAAACCGCCATTACACTTTACAAATAGATTTACAAGGATTGTCCTTATAATGTAATGTCTTTTAATGATTCTGTCTGTATTATTTGAAATAAGTTTCTTTACTTTTAACCTATTTTTTGAGAATACCTTTTCTAAGGAAGATCTGTTCAGTTCATAATATCTAACATAAGTTGCAATGTCACTTTAATATCAGCACAATTGTCCTGAATAATAGCTATTCATTGCAGTGTTTTGTTTTCCTTGTTTCTCTTACTAAATAAATTATTACAGGCAACCAGCAAATTTTACAGAAGAGAAATACTAATTTCCCAGTAAAGGCATTAAAGACAAATATTTTGTCAAAAATATTCAAAAGTGGCCTTTATGTGTGTGCATGTGTAGACCCGACCTTCAACAGCTGTCGTGATCCAGGGACTCCCGCCTACGGTATCCCAGTCATGGCCCAGGGATTTCAGGTGAGAAATATGCGGGAGAACTATTAACCTTCTCTGTAATAAACCTCTGTGAATTACGTAGAATATGCAAGTTGAATGACTCAGTAGTTACAGAAAACCCCTCTTCCTAATTTCCAGGAACCACCTTAATTAATGTCCTTCACGTTAAATAAAAGATTTGGTCATGTTTAGGTCATCTACACGCCTTAGTTAGATTACATACTTGAAAATCAGCTGATCAAGCTCTTCTGGAGAGCACCATACTTTAGATTTGAATCTTTACTTCTAAATGTGATGACAAGGCATTAAAAAGGGCATTAGGATTAGTGGGCTGCATTTGATATTGCAGCAGACAGTATCAAATGTGGGGGCAACTTTCTGCCGAGCCGAGTAAGAAAAAACCAGCAAAAGCTAAAAAGGGAGTGACTCCAATACACCGTATCAGTGCACTGAAAGGTGATTGTGCACTTGACCAGCAATATGAGATAAATGTGGTCAGAAGTTAGATGTGAATAATTAATGTAGGATTTTTGCTATATACATGCATTTTTTCTACCTTGTTTTTTTCTGTAGCAGGAATGACAAATAATAAATATTATGTGAGCTGTCATCAATTGAATTTGAGAAAACTTTCAAATCCTTTCTTTTGTTATGGTTTAATTGATGTATCCTAAATCACAGAGAAAGGAAGGATTAAGAAGCCTAAAAGGAAGCAGGCGGTATGGGGTAGTAATGATTATATTATAGAGGATTAAAGTTTATGAACAAATATTTGATTTTAATTGTCAGTTGTGAGTGATGTGTTACATTATTTTTTCAAAGCTAATTACTCTGAGAATAACATTTTCTTCAAAGTCAAATCAGACCACGGTTCTAAAAGAGTTGAAGATACAGCTATATGTAGCCTTTGTTTTGCCACACTTCCACACACCAAAAGGAGCTGCACCAGTGGAGATTCTGTATCAAGTGAGCCTGAAGGTTTTTGTGAACTCAGACAGAGAAAGCATCAGAAAAAATTGGGGAAATGTGCATCAGTGGCTGAATCTGTGAAGGAAAAACATTACCACATACTTCAAGTAGATTACAAAGCTTTTTTTTAATTTTACATGTTGTCAGTGTTGTCACTTGGTTATTATATTCTGTTTATTATCATAGGGGATTTTATGAAGACAGCTATGGGTCAATAAGTGAAACAAAGGAAAATGCTTTTTCATTGATGTATAGGTTGGCAGTAAGATTTCATTTAAATGCCGCAAAAACTACCACATCCTTGGATCCACAACAAGAACTTGCCTTGAAAACCTAACCTGGAGTGGAACTCAACCTGAGTGTATAGGTGAGTAATGATAATAATGATAATGATGATAAAAATAGGTCAGCTATTGTTGAAAAAAGTATTGTTGAAAAAAGCATTTGTCAGTATTTATCAGTTCATTTTATTTTCTCTCAAAATATTTCTTTCTCAATCTCAATTCAGCTCATTCATGCAGACAACCAGAGACCCCCATCAACGTAGATGTTCGATCTATGGACCTGCCTACCTTAGGATATACCCTCATATACTCCTGTCAAGACGGTTTCTATCTGGCTGGGGGATCCGAGCACAGAACTTGCAAAAGTGATGGCAGATGGTCAGGCAAACCGCCTCTCTGTAAAGGTATGTCAAATCCTGTTCAAATCCTGTCCTGTCAAATATTCTGATCTTGTCTTCAAAATCATAACCCAATGTTTCAATCACATAAAGTTTCTGGGTTTTTTTTGTAATGGATAAAGGCAGATTATCACTCTCTGCACTATTGTAGATGTCAAATCAGGGGTGTTATTATCATTATTCTCATCATTTTAGCATATATTCATGGCCATATCTAGCTTGATGAGAGGAAAATCTGATGGCAGTGAATGTTATGTTATGTTTTTCAAATGTTTGCTGGTTTTTCAGTTTATTTTTTGCAGGTAGAAAAAGAAGCAGTCATTTTAATATGAAAGCTCATAAACTAATTGTTTTTGTAGTAACAGAAACAAGTGTTTATTTCTTCATTTTCTTTGTCCTCTCACATAAAGAATATTCTGTGTCCTCTTTGGCTCCACTTAGAGTGTGATCTATTATGTTTTTGATATAATGTATAGTAAACTAAACTTCACACTGTTTTTTTTATTGTTTCAGTTGGAGCAAAAGTAAATCCCAAAGGCAGGGGAGAGTCTGATGTCCTGAAGAATAAGATTCGTGGTATGCTGAAAAAAACATAATTACGCACAAAAATGGAGTACATGCAAAGACAAACATTAGATATAACTGTTGTGAAATCCTCACAGCCTATTTTCGTTAATTTAAAAATGGTTTGATATAGTTGTTTGATTTTTTTTTATAAAGTTTTTCTCAGAAAAAACTTTTTGCAGAATTATAATGACCGTTGCTGTCGTAGTAGTCTTTGTGAGATCATAAAAATTGCATTGTTTATTTATTAAGAAATAAACAAATGAGTATAAACTTTCATGGTTGATATCATTACATTTTTTCTAAGCTGGAGGAAGAATTGTGTAATGTAATGTATCAGACAGTAGTAAGTAAACGTTTGCAACTTCCTTATCAGAATTTGACATAGGTTGTACTTTTGAGTAATTATGTGAATGCGACAGATCTCCTCAGCTCCAGGGCTACCACAGATCGTTCATAAATTTGATTTCTTTTAATATTTGTGAGAGAAAAGGGATAATCAACATCTTGACCTTTTTGTTAATTTTTGTTCATTTGCTTAATTCTTGGACATGTATATGTGCTATCGTTGGTTTACATCAGCCCTCTGAATTACTTCTGAAAATACAAACTGACACTGCACTTTGCATTTGTTGTTGCTTTCTCTCTTTGTCTTGGTGACAGTTCCTGTGGATGTCTTCTCTCAAAACTCGGAGTGGAGTGGATTCTACGAGTATTTGGGGAAGAGACAGGCCACTACATTCACAGTCACCGGGTTTAATGCCTCAAGTGGTCGAGTTAATGTCACATTACTGGAGACCAGCGGCGTGTCAATCCGGTTATCGGGTAAAAAGATCAAGCTATGCAGTCAAATAACTGGAGTTGCCCCAACTAAAATAGCTTTGAATAACTTTCAAAGGAGTTATAATTATGTCCTCAAACTGTGAATAAGTGGTAGATAAAACTGAGCCAATAAATCAATGGTCATTAGTCAAGTCCAATTTCTTAGATGAATAAAAACCCGTCATAAGCATTACAAGTCATAAAATGTATATGAAAAAGAAATTAGTTCACCCCCGATGACCCTTTACGAGATATGCAAACTCAGGCAAAGGCTGGACAATATATTACTTTGGAAAGTGGGGGGGGTTGAATTGGCAGAAAGTGTTGTAACACAAATTTAGCTGTCAGTGAATTATGAGCAATCACATACCAGAAGTTGGGGATTTGCAGATTTCAAATGCAGTGTCAATAAAACACATGCAAAGCCTGAAACCGGTTCAAATACACGGCAGGTGAACAAAAATCTCATTTTCACTTATCTACAAAGCATCACTGGTCCGTTTGGCACTGGTTTAAACTCTTACAATTACATTACAATTATCATTCCCATTCATTTGTGTGCATAAAAAAGGAAGCAGTGAAGCGCACAGATGAGAGAAGTTTGAGCTGTGTAAAACTTAATCCATTCCATAATTCAACCTTTTTAAATTTGCAATGCATTGGTGTGTCATGGCCTAATTTCTTAAAGCACAGTTAGGAAATAAAGTAGAAGACATAGGGGTTGTAAATGAGGAAAATTGACATTAAATGTAGAAAAGACTAAATCAATTAAAATGATGAACGATCCACATATAATTAAAGCATTTAACATTTAAAGGAAATGAACCATTTAACACAGAAATGGGTGGAATCAAAGAGATGATTACAAGCTTATTACAAGCTTAAATGACCCTAAATATAGAAATTAATCAACCTTAAAATGTTCTCAATGTTATTCCTGGTTTCAGGTTCTCATCAAGTGAAACTATATTTCCGAGTTTTGTTAGAAACCATTGACATTTGCAGTGTAATTTGTTGTATTTTTCTATATGAATTAAGTTTAAAGAAAAAAGAAGAAAGACACAGCGGGGGTCCGATTTTGCATCTATTCCACAGGACTGTACACCCAACTTTAGCTTACAGCAATACAAATGTGCATTACAACTTAGTAAATCTTACGACATAGTCATGAACAACATCCAGTGATTTCAAGGTTTTAGCAGAGATGTCTTTGTGTCTAGGGTTAACATTCACAGATCTTGTCACTTCACAGTCAGTGGCGGTGGTGTGAATGGACGTTTTCCATTCCAAATTTAGCAGAATGTCATTAATTCAGAATTCACAACGATTATCCAAAGTACTACAAATGATTCAATTGCAGACACATCAGATCATGTTTGTGCCTTTTACTTTATGTTACATTTACTTTACATTCGTTGCCTATCACTGATTGTTTAACTGTCGCCTATTGGTATTTATTATGAAGCATATATATATATATATATATATACATACAGAAAATTTACTTTACTTGTAATTTAATTGTCAATGCTTATCTCCCAACCAGTCTGTTCCCTATTTGAATTTCTTGCCCCAGAGTGACTCTGTCAGCTGTTGACAGACCACAAAATGTTGAAATTTTTAAAATGTGATATTTAGGTTTTTATAAATCAAGTCTAAATAGACTGTCTTTATCTGTCTAGGTACCTATAAGTCAGAGGAAAACCAGCTGCTTTTGAAGGTCTACCAGGTGAAAGGACCAACAGAACATTTTCTCAGCAAGTTTAAAAACGACAACTGGGCAATGGATGGCTATGTAAGAAACACCTCCTCATCACATCCACATCCTAAAATCAAAATTATCAGTAAGATGATCAATTTAAGATGAGAATGTTACTTAACAGGTTAATAATTAGGTTCAACAGATAATGTTTTAATGTTCTTACCCTGCAGATATCATTTAATATCAGGTTCATCATTTTACTGACCACTCATCCACATGGTAAAAGTTTGAAGAAAAAGAGAAAATTGTGATGTTAATATTTTATTTAAAAACACATTTTGTCTTTAAACCCAAGCACAACTCAAACATGCCTGACTTTTCAGAGGTGTTTGCACGCATGCTGTCTCAAGGACCTGGAAAAACCTTCATCCTTTTCATAACTGTCACAATTATTTAATCTTTTCTGATTTTTTCCAAGTCCACAGCATTTAGACTGGGGCACTGTGGGGACCATAGCATTTCCTGCAGAGCTTCTTGGTCTTTTCTTTACTGAGGATCATTTCTTATCATATGACTGTTTGCTTGGAGAACGAATTAGTCAGACAGCACAAGATGCCTCTGCAAGATAGATTAAAGGCTAAAAAGCAATGTGCGCATGACTTTCCAGTGTGCGGTTACTCTTCTTACGTTTTTTTTTTTAGAAAGGCTCCTATTTTGATAGTGCCAGACTTTCATAGGGTCTTTGTTAGTAAATGTTGACAGCAGCAGGTGAATATCAGGCCCTGTGTTTACTGCAATCACATACAATCATGCTGAAGTGCTACACATTTCAGTGAAGATACAAAATAACCAGCAGTCTAGATTGTCTGAAATATCACTTCAATGCTCCAGAGTGTGCAAGTGCCTGTCTGTCACACAGGCAGCAGTTTTGTGATTGTTTGTTCTGTTCCGACAGCCTGATTAGTCCAAGCATGCAGACGAGGATCTAGGAAAAAATCAATTAAGATGTGTTATAAAAGTGACCATAGAGAACTAGTCGGTTAAAAAATTAACTGTATTACAGAAAAAGTCCTGTCCAGAGGACCTCAACTGTACAGTCAACATTAGATTAACTGATGCCATCTTTTTGCAGTTATCTGTGCAGATGAGAAATTAAACATTCATCCATCAAGTCTTGATATATTTGAACCCATGAACAAGTGTCATTCATCCTCTAGTGTTGTTCCAACACATAGTCAAATAAAGGTGCTTACAAATATGCACAGCTCCCATTACCCCCAACAAGTTCATCTGTTTATAGCCCATTGTGCAAGTTATGAAATAAAAAGAAGCTATCATCCTGCAATCTGAACCCCTTTTTGCATTTTAGGTTACTGCAGAGTCAGACCAAAAGACCTTTGTCTATCAGGGGCACATTCACAGCAAAGATTTCGGCAAGTTTCATCTGACAAGACAAGGTAGGTATATTTTCAGCACTGAGGAAACAAAAATATATTTGGAGCTTGTTTATCGGTGTGGAAATTGTGGTGTGAAAACAATGCTCGCAGAAAACTGGAACAACAGATAAAGCAGGCAGTATCAGTAGTAGTTGCACACACACATATATGTGTTTATGCATTGAAAACTTTATCTGTGTGTGCACCTCCAGGTCCTGTAACCATGGCAATCGACCCATCAAACCCCTACACAAACAGCAGTTCTGTGGCAGCAGCCATCTTGGTCCCTTTCTTTGCACTCATCCTCTCTGGATTTGCCTTCTACCTCTACAAGCATAGGTAAGCCATACCTGCAACATCAATCCAGCCGAGAAAAACAGACAGCCAGCAGAGCAGAATACAAAACAGCCTGTGCCCTCTATGTCTGGAAACAGGAATAAAGCGTTACGTTTCATGTCTGTGCCAAAAGTAATATTCAAGTAAATTATTGAGTGTAAGAAAATTAAATTTGTTTCTTCATTTAGTTTTATTTTTTGAATGAGTAGCATTGATATTTGCTCATCTTCAACATATTCATTTGATGATGACATGCAAAACATAGTTCACCAGCCTCTGGATTGTTAAAAGCCTTGGTTTTCTTTTAAATGAACTTCTATTCATTCTTGACTATCTACGTTGCATTGAAATACCCAACCTTGGATTTATTTGCATTGCAGCAATTTAGCATCGGAGAGATATTGTCCCTTTACCGTTACGGCATTTGAAGGCTTTAGCTGATAATTGTCTTATAGCGCTTGGCAACTGCCACTGCTTTATGGAATTGCATCACTAATATCTAAGACATGGGCAAAGAAAAAGCAAAAGAATACTCATTGTTTTCATGCACTGCGCTTATTCTATGCCTACAATCTGTTTGAAAGCAAATAGAGGATAAGAAGACGCATTTTTGCCAGAAGCAAAAAAATCACTCCATCTAAAACCCAGAAAACCTACTCTGCCATTTGGTGATATTTTTTACCTATATTGTGCGAGGTGTAACTGTTTTTATAACAAGTTCTTTTAGCTTCCATTATTCTGCCTCCAGGCAAGAAACCATAGAAAAGTAACACATTGCAAGTGAATTGAACAGATGTTGAAACCGGCAACAAAACAGGCCCTTCATATCCCTTCATGAGTGATACAACCAGAGGGAATATGTTGATATCCAGTTATCAACTAAAATGGCTGCAGGATCACTTAAATAGTAGATCTGAATAAGAGTGGATCAATCTGAACACCAAATAAGTTTGACATCTGTATTTACTTTGTGCTATTTGATCAAAAGCGCCGTTGATTTTCGTATATAGGACAAGTATTTTAAATAACCATAAAAAATAAGATAATGGAACATGACAAGTGTTCACAAAGTGGCTTTGTCCAAACCTATTTTAAGATTTTAAAATAAAAAACAATTGATATATCCAAAGTGTAGAATTCTTATATGGAATTTGTAGTGCCTCAGTTTGAATATTCTGAGGCAAGAAATGTTCTGTTTTTTTTCTTATAAAAATGTCTTTCATTTTAGTTTTTTAGATAGTTTCCTGCCAAGATATAGAGCAGCCTGGAATGGAATCCATAAGTGTGCAAAGTGACTGCTTTGAAAGAAGCCTTTTCCTTCACAACACTAAATCTAAACACAACTGACAGCAGTTGTGTGTGTGTTTAATTGTAGTTCTAAAGCTCATGAGCACACGATGAAGGTTACATCTGATTGACCTTAGATTTTAATTATTTTCCCTACAAAGTGAACAAAAGACTTACAATACCCTAAGATGGCAGATCATTTAGAGCCTATTTGAGGATAAATTGTGGTCATTAAATTCCTGTTTAATATGTGTTATTTCTTCAGCAGGGGAGTTCTAGACTTCTGTGCTAAACTTCAATGCCCAAAAGTTTTTCAAAGTCATGCCATGCACCTAACAGCGGCCTATATTGCACATTCGCTATGTCATCATGTCTTTTGTGTGTCATTGATGATGTAATTGAATCATAAGGGAGGCCATGTTTATTAATTCATACTGATGATGTTTTCTCTTCGCCCAGGTAAAAGTAGTCTATGTTCTGTAGTGAGTAAACTGCATTTTTGACCAGTCAATTAGCATAAATCCTGTGTACCAGGGCATGCGTACTGACACAAACATTAGCAATACTCAACTGCTAATTCTAGCAGCTAACTGTGTAGAGTCATTAGATTTTTTTTTCTTTTACCATAATCTGATTGTTATTTAGCAGTGTGCCATGCTAGTTAATGTACAATAAAGTTGATGGTTGTATGCAGGACATTGTCCGCTGACACAGATGACAATGAGAGACCAAAAGACACCTGGGGGCCTGGCGGCAGGTAAGACTAGCACCGTGTCTTCCATCTGGTTCAAACAGCAACCAGAGCTCCGCCCGCCGCCACATCCTCCGTCAAACTTCTCATCACTTGTTTTTAGTTTTTGGTTTGCTGTTTAGTAGGGCTGCACCGTAGATAGAAATTAATACACAAATAAATCATGGTACTTTGATTGACAGAAAGAAATATTACATGATCTTGAATTAAAGGTAAACTTTTAAACAAACATATGACTGCTCCTCATATAAGATGGGGAAAAAAATAATTAGGCTCAAGGGAAAAAAATTACAAGATTTGGATGTTTTCACAGCAGTGCAGCCCTTTTCTGTGAAATCTGCAGTCACATGCAGTAAAGCAACACAGAGTACATTTTATTTTGTCTTTGATCTCATTGTCATCTCTCTGTCAACATGACATCATCCAGATGAATCTATGAGCTAATCTGGTTGATTCAAACAAGCCAATGGTTTATGCAATGTCACACTTTTAACACGTGTTTCTCCTGTCACCCATGATCTGCATTTCCTTTGTCTACAGTTGTCGACTGTAGGTGTAAAGTATGATAGACTTAACTCTACGCAGACAGTTAAAAATCTCGACAGTTATGCCAAACCAAAATTAACTGAAATTATTCCATCACGTAATAATGTAACGTAGTATCTTAACTAACAACCTGAAAACAAAGTCCATGTGGTTCTATGTGTATGAAATCTGTGATAATATCACAGAAATTCTACTCAGAAATTTTCAATCCACTGAAAAAGTACTTAAAATCACCAGTGCAGTGTTTTAAACCTTTTTTTGCAGAGCTGTGTTAGTAGTCTGTCGATGAGTGCAGTTTTATAAAGTAAAGAGCTGAACATGTAGAGCACTATTAATGGCCCCCAGGGTTACCAATGCTCAGACGCAAACATACACACCCTCCTGTGTACATACACTCTTAATGAGTTCAGAATCAAACAGCAGAAGCATTCCTCCGCTCCAATAGTTCCACAGGATTTGGCAGTTAAGTGATTATATCTAACCGGATTATAGGACCTGATTATCCAAAAAGTGTAATCTGTGACAAACAGAACAGCAAAACAAATTAGGAGGTGTGTCCAATCTAACCACCGCATCAGTTTCTTCAAAATGCATATTCAAGCAGGCTGAGTTATAATAGATACACACATTTTGAGCATGCTTCACTTCATGAAGACAGACCCGTGTGTGACCAGCTGTAAGCTGCTGGAGAACAGACGCAATGTAGTTGGAATTCCCTCAGAAAGTTTAACAATTTGATTTAAAATTAATGTCAATGTTGAAGACTGGTATGTCCAACAAGATAACTGAGTCCACATTCTAATAAGGGCTTAAATCTACGGTAAACATATTCACATTTGTCTCTTATGATTTGGTGGTTGTAGGACATTATGCTGTCTAGTAATTCTTAAACTAACTCATATTCCTTGTGAAATTTAAGTGCTGAAAAGAACTTATGGTACAAATCAACACGCAGCATCATGTGAATGTTACAGCCTTTACCATCAGTTATGAATCATTATTAAGATTATTATTATTGTTTTATTGTTGTTACTACCTTCACCAGAGTCTACAAATCTAAGTGTATACTGTAGATTTAGTTTTTTTTAGAATTTTGCCATATTTGCCTTATTCTTGTTTTTTTTCTTTATTTTCTTTTTTTTTCATCACGGGGCTCTTTATTTAATTAAGATTTTCTGAAGCTAACTTTACTGAGTATTTATGAAGGTTTCAAATCAACATGTTTTTTTCTCGAAATGATAATATTAAACAAACCATTACTCTCACAGTATGGTTACAATCTGCAGCCTCAGAAAGAGTTCTCTGGAAGCTCTTGAGGATCTCCAATGTGACAGCCTTGTATTGTAAATCAATGATTATGTAGTTAATGTTGTTTATTCTCTCTCTCTCTTTCAGGACACGCCCAAAAGTGCAGTTCAACGGCTATGTTGGCCATGAGACCTCCAATGGCCAGGCATCATTTGAAAACCCAATGTATGACACCAATATGAAGCCCACTGAGGCCAAGGCAGTTCGATTTGATACCACTCTAAACACAGTCTGCACTGTGGTCTAGTACGAAAAAACCTGCCACTGTCCATAAAGTTGTTCGGGCTGACCTTTGTGTTGCAGTGATGTGTAATCGATCAAAAGAGGAAGGGAATTTTAGGATTTAGACCATGAGCTGTGCTGGTCATTCGTCAGCATTGTCTGCACTGGAACGCAGCTCTACTTCACTTGCTTGTGAACATAGGTATTATTCACCAAGGAAACTAAGTTAAACCTGAAGTCGGTAAATATTCACATCATTAGGAATCACAAAGTACTGAAGATCAGTGTGTGGTCTGGCAGAGATGAAAAAAAGAAATTGTTAAAGTTCAGATCTGTCCAGGCCCATGCTCATCCCGTTTGTCTCAATATCAAAATAATTGATCCTACCTCCTAACCATTTACTGCTTTCTCCAACCCCAGCCCAACCCCACGCCCCATTGCCAAATTTGCACAGCGGTATAGGCTTACTAACTCCCCTGCTGCAGGCCAGATGTGGGTTTGACCAATGCAAGGTTTTACCCTCAGGGGAAGCACACAGACTATTCCACTTCTCAGCCCAACACAGGCGCTGGACCAAAATCCTCCCACAGGACTTCCACTGTTCTGCACTTGAAATGAGTAAAACTTTGACATGACACTTTACATACCCTGTTTTGGTGGAATCAAAGGTTTTTTTATCCAGAATGTGGTGAAGCTGACAACCACATGGAGTCAATGTAACAATAGGCTTAAGTGACTTAATCCAACAAAGGAAAATTACTTATATTAAAGCAGTACTTTAAGATCACTCATAGTACTAATGGATAAACAAGCCAGGGTTGATGGAAATTGAACATAAGTTTGAAATGTTCTAGCCTATTTAAAGAACTAAATCAGTATAACTATAGCAGGACAATCACAGAGACATTTACATTTAACCATTAGTAATCAATTGATTTTCAATTCGGTTCTTGTAAATCTATTTTCTGCCACTGCTTTACTTTTTATGATACCCCACAGTAAATTGCAACTAAATAGGCTAAAACATATCCAATGAAACTTTTGCAGACATTCCTTGCCCTTGTTTTCGTAACAGAACCACTAGTGAACTAGCTCTAGATGAGTTTGCAACATTTTCAAACATGAGATGAAGGTATTCCACAGTAGCAGAGGGCTGACTGTGCTGAACCACGAGAGTAGACATTTGAGTTGCCCTGCTGGTGCACACTATGAACCGGTTTCCAGAGGCCTGTCATACACAAAGGGTCATGTTCCTGGACTAGCCACAATTCTGTGCTCGGTGGCTGAGCAAGTGGAAGCCTGGAGGCAATAAGCTGTCAGGATCATCGACATCTGCAATCAGCTGTGGCCAAATCCAGGAAATGATTTGTCAACTTGTTATTCTGCTGTGGACTATCACTCAAGAGATGACTGATTCTTTTTCCACTGGATACACTCCAGCCACAAAATCTGAAACAGATTAACTTTTTAGTGGACATACTGACTAACTGGCGGACAAATGGACACAGGCAAATGTACAGTTTGTCAGCTCTGTCAGTTCAAATAAGAGACATGGACGTGTTGCTGCGGAAACAGAGGCAAATTGTTGTCTCTAATTGTCTCTTCTGGCATTTTTCTTCAGTGAAGATATTGATGAACAGACTCGTATGTTCCAAATCCCAGTGGGTTCTTAGGACTTCCCAAACCACTGCTTCTGGGGCCCGAAAATATAAACTTTATATAAACCGCACAAATTTTGCACTAGTGTTTTTTCTTTTCATTTTTCTTTCTTTTCAACTGGGTTACAAAAAAAATAAGATTAACTTTAGGGGTTGAAATGGGTTTGAAAAAAGGGTGATTAAAAAAGAAAGATAATTTTATTCAAAAACTTCTATCTTTAAAAAGACAACTAAAAATAACAGGGTTACAGAGTGTTTGTATATACTCATTTATATTCTTGCTTCCTGTTGGCAGGTGTGACAACATGCTATACTGTTGTTTTTTTTTGTTGCCATGACATCATGCTTGTCAACCAGGAAGTACAGAGCAGTTCACCTGCAGACTAGCAAGAAAGACAACGGTGTCACGTCACAATTTGCCACATTTACCTGTTTCTGAAACCTCCAGAACACTGTATACTACTACACTGAGAACATGTGAGCTGATAGCTTTATACTGATGATGTGCTAGTTTTATGAAGAGATTAAATATGGGATATTAATGTTCAGCTGGTATCTGGTAGTGGTATAAAGCAATAGCGTTCAGAAACAGCGTGTGACTATTTCTCAAACAATCTTAAAAAAGATGTGTTGCCAATGTTCCTTTCTACCGATATCAGCCTATAGGTCATTTTAACACATGACACATGTGAAACACGGGCTCTTGCTTCAACACACCTTTTTAAAGAATGCACAGTAAATGTGACCTGTTTGAGATTCAGCCCCTTAAGGCAAAACTGAAACAAACACAGTACGAGGACAACATGCACAATTATGGTTGTCATCAATTATGTACAATTATGGTCCCCTGACCCCATCCCTCACAGCCCGACCCTCACACTCATTGTTTGAGAAATACCTCATGTGCAGAGATTTAAGTACAGGCCTGCTTATCAATGCTGGAAAAGTCACTGCAACAAATACACAAGCTTGGCAGATGCATTTTTGTCTGCTTATCTAACAGTATTGTAAGTCAAAATGTCACTTTAACACCCATGAGTCTGTAAAAGCCCAGTCAAATTAATCAATTTTAAATCACTAACCAAGCTTGTTATTTCTCGCAGTGTTCCCTTGAAAATATTTTTATTTTTTGAAAGATAGAGCACCTGGTTTAGATCACAGATGTAAGAGCTTTCTGTGTGTGCGCGCATCCTTAGTGTCTTCGAGCCTGTTTCCCGCTTCATTCACAACATTCTGCCATTATATCCACGCACCCTGCATTGTTTAAACCGCCCTTCCTTTTTTACTGTCCAACCTAAGATTTATTTTTCTGTTTTCCACATTTTCAATCATCCTACCTCCGTCTATAACAGCTCCATGAAGCGGTCATTTACTTCCCCTTCATACATATGCACGAAATGGGGTGAAGAGATGTGCAGAGTTAACCAATGACATCCTGCAACAGACATGAGCTATGATTTTGTTGAAGAAACATTAAATGAACACTGGAAAAAACAGTGGGGAAAAAAACTGCATGAGAAGGTAGTCACATCCACCTGTTCTGAGATAAGCAAGACTTAATGAACAGGCAAATGTCAGTTTCCTTTTCCATTTTCAGCTCATTTAGTTTAAAATTACTCTATCCCAAATCTGAATGCTACCAGTGACATGTCCTAAAATAGTCGTGATTATTTATGGAAGCGGGTCTGCAGGAAATTGTTGGCTTTTTAACAACCATTGTCAGCCTGTCATCTACAGTGTTGGTGTCAGAGTGATAAGAAGCATGATGCACTGGAAGTAAAAACGAGCAAAGATCATTAATATGCTTGCAATGTATCAACAAGACAGATGACACACATTCAAAACCTCTACACAGGAATTAACTAGAAATCTGTAAACAACAGAACAGCGTCTGTTCACACGATCATGAGCCTGCTCTCTTGTTTTTTTTTGTTTTGTTTGCAAAAGTGCTCTGTGTGCCACTTATTTGACTAATTAAATTAATTCAGATGTGGTTTCATACTGAGTCAACAACAAAAATCTAAAAATTAGAGGCTTCAAAAGTTCCACAGATGCACCATAAGCTTTAATTCTTAGTAATTACAGATAGTCATCTACGTTCTTGCACGCCTTAAATTGATAATTCAGACACTTTTTTGTTTATTGTCATCTAGACAAAGAGCTGCACTATTCACTTTAATTTTCACATCTTATGTAAAAAAAGGAGACAAAAGGACATAATATTAATTTTCTGGCATCAAGTTTCAAAGCAGACTTGAGAGATTTGACAGTAGTTCTGCAAGTTCTCATAGGTGCGTGGTGAATTCCACTTTTATGTGTGCCTATTTTCACTTTAAGGTTTTTCTCTGCATTATCTTTTAAATGTTTTGGTGTCTTTATTGCAGCCTAAGACTAGACTTCAAAAATTCAAATCTCAATCCCCACGCAGGCTAAGTTACTCACGAGATGACACACCTCTCTTGGTTTGTGTGATCTCTCACATTTCTTTTGTTTCCCTGGTCATATTTGGATAGATTTACTCTATAGATTACAGAGGGTTTCACACATTTGGCAACTTGTTTTAAACTCTTTTTCCCCCCACTTTTTTTAAACTGTTAATAGCAGCTTGCTATTTGTTGCTTAATGGTTAATGTTGTTTTGGCTTTATTCTCTTATAAAACTCCTCAGGAGTTCTAGCTTTCTCCGTTTTACTGTTACATATGTGTTTCTAGCAGTCTGCTATGCTTAATATTACTTTTGAAACCAATGTTTCAGATGCTGAACGACCCACTGCACGAGTTTCTTTTTAAGCTTTCACCCTCTTACAAAACAGCTTTCACACACATGTTCTTGTGTTGATCTCTACAGTTTGGGCCGGCCAAGCTTTTTGTGCTTACATATTCAAGTCAAATCTACATATCTAAAGTATCTAAGATGGCAATGAGTTGACTGCAACCGTGCTTCCCTATTTAAATGTCATTACAGAATCTTCTTGATTGTACACTGGGACACCATGTCTGGAAGTGCTATTTAAGTTTGGGTGAGGGGACACATTGTCACAACAAATATTAGCATGCAGTAAATCACTTTTTCATCTCAATGTCAATTGAAATACTTTTTTCCCCAAATGGCACAACGATAAGTTAAGAAATGGCTAATTCTTTACAGAAAGCTTCTATCCTCACTCGTGTCTTTGTTTTGAGCATCCTATCAGATTTCCATTTCCATATCTCATACGTCATCATGTGCTGCTGAACTTGAAGTAGGTGCATAAGAAAAGATTACATTTTTGTACAGAAATCTATTTTTTACTGAGTGATTTGTAAAAAATAAAGAAAAAACTAATTATTAAACATGAAGTACTTTTTATAATTCATGATGTAGGTAC